CGAGGAGCAGACGAAGGAAATCATAACCGTGTTGGTGGTTTTATAACTAATAGAAAATTATGTTAATTTACATAGTCATAAACTTTAGCTTTGATTTTCTCGGCTTAAACAACGTTGGTTTTTAAAATTACTTCGCCAATGAACTCATAAGATGTGTCGTTTTTTAAGCCATTTAAAACACTCGCAGTCCCTGCTTTAGAGAATTTGAGCAAGACAACGAAGTACGAAGACGAAGGCATACTTGACAATTTTTGCCGCCTGCACATTATCTTGCGCATACTGAGTTGGACGTCACTGATAGTTGCTCAACGTGTCTTCCCATGTGTCGCTGTTTATGAATACTGACCATAATTCTTGCCCTGATCCAGAAAGGAACGAGACATGAAACTATATCCCGTCTTTGTCCTTCTGCCCTCGTGCAGAACGAAATTCACAACGAATTTTGCCAAAACTATTCGTTGCGAACGAAGGCAGAAGAATGAAGACGGGATATGGATTCATGTCTCGCTGTTTTATCCTGATCAGGGTAAGGATTTGAGTCCGCATTCATAAAAAGCTAGACATGAATCTCTAATCTGTCTTCACTCCTGACCCTAAACTCAGAATGTTCAAGGTAATGTGCAAGACAGGCAAACATTGTCAACCACGTCGTCGTCGTCCGACTTCGTTCTCTCGCTCAAACTCTCTTTTATCAGATATAAGACGCTTGTCTGTCGCCTCGTGTGTTATATCTGATAAAGCACTCCTCCTCGTGTTTTAAATAGTACGCAACACACTCAAAAAGATGTCCAAGTTTTAATTTTCGGGATGAATTTCTAAATTACTATCACATTTTAAAATCTTCCCTTCCGGTGCGCATAAAATACATACCAATTCTTGCTTGTAATGCGCATGCTCGCACCACAATAATTAGACCGGAATACGGCAAATATAAACTGAGTTCCGCGTGAAAGAAAATCATGGAAATAAGCTGCCGTGGTTTGTGTCTGAAAATTGAATAAATATTCAATTTTATTTTTGTACTGGTCTGACTTCCGACGGGTTGTCGGACCACAAGAAAAAAACTTATCAATAAAAGTAATGGTCAGCCTGAATGGTCAACAGAAGCCTGAATTCTTGGTTTTTCCTACAATGGTCAACAGAAGCCTCAATTCTTGGTTTTTCCTATGATTCTCCAAGGGGCCATTCACAAAGGATTTCCAGCCAAATGATGGATTTTCAGACCCCCCCCCCCATTCCCCGACATTGTCTAAATTACTAATTAGTGACCCCCTCCCCCCTGGACATCCGCCATGCCTTGCAAAAACTCACACAACCTTGTATATGTCAAGAGTAAAAAACTTTTTTTACTTTTAGAACTTTTTATAACTATAAATGTGAATACAAAAACATATAAATTACTAATTAAAACAAAATCTAGTATTAACCACAAAGTCAAAATGCCAATTTCACAATGGGAAGGAGAGTTCAAAATAGAGGAAAAAGAAATTTGTTTTTGAATTTTTTTAAATTTCGGACATCCGGATTGCTAAAAACCCACCTCCCCCCCTATGTCCAGGGGGGTAATGCCTCTCATAAGCGCATGACATCAGCATTTTGGTGCAGGGTCTTAGCTAGGATTTTAGATCTTGGGCGTGTTTCTAAATGACCTGGGTGTGCGTATTTCTAGTTATGCTCGCAAACAACAGACAATGCCTGTGGTTGTTGTAGGCTTTGCAACCATGCAAATACAAGGCTACGCTCACATTGCGTACTGACATTAAAATATTAAGTTTTTTCAGCAACTCTTGGGGGTATTTAAAACCATTTTTATATATAATACCATATGGTTCCCATTATCCATCAAAACATTAAAACATCACAGATCACTTTTTCCAATTTCATCAATTACAGTAGATTTTAGAAACTTTCTTACAACGAAAATGGGAAGAAATGCTGTCTGTTGTAAGCAGTAACACCTTATTTTATGAACCTACACGGCCTTATTTAATTAAGAAGCCGCGTTAATTTTATCTAGCCGTGTTTTTCTATTTTTGGCCGCGATAACACGGCCAACACGGCCCTCTAGCTAAGACCCTGTTTTGGTGATGAATCATGGCGTGGTAGTGGTTACTCGAGTCAACCTTCTGTATGTCTTTCTTTATTCTGTGGCAAGCACCTTTGTCAGGAAATTGATAGCCACAGGTGCAATGGCTCATCATTTTTACATAAGAGAATTTTACATAAGAGAATGTGGTTTTAACCCACTAAGCACCAGAGCTACCCCCTTGATGAGTAAAATTATCTGGTGTTGGACAGAGTAAAATAATGTTTGGTGCAATTTAAATGGTTAAAAACCAAAATTAATTAACGGGCCTTTAATTTAAATGGCAATGCACCCTGATGTGACCTACTTTATTGTTTTACTCTGTCTAACACCAGACAATTTTACGGGGGATACCGTACTTACCATAATACAAGAACTTGCAGAAAAGGTAACAATCCCGTACAGAGCTGAACATATTTCCAGTCTTGTATAACAAATGCAAGAAAGTCAAGAAATAGTACACCAAAAACACCAGATCCAACAAACAGAATACCGCCTTTAGCACGATATTTCATTGGCAGCATCTCCAGGGCAAGAATGAATGAAGAATTTTGCACACCCTAAAAAATAAGGTACAATATATTTGTTGCAAATGACTTGTTCTGGGGCACGTTTATAGATACACTTCACTCCCTAAACATATTCAAAATGGCAGACGTTCAGGTTGTGAATGCCTCTCTTATGCACACTGGAATATGGCGAGTGCATTTTGATGACAAGTCATTGCTAATCATGGCATGGCAGTGGTTACGCTTTTCTGTCAACCTTCTTTAAGGTTCCTAGGAATTAGCTACCGGACCCAGGTTAGGGTAATGGATGTGGGTTTATGGGGTTATGATCTTAATTTGCCCAAAACATGAAAATAGTGAAAACATCCATGTTTATCGCATGCTTACCTGCATAAGAAATCCCAAGAAAAATCTGAGTACAACATAGGCAACATACGTTCTAAACACAAAAGTGGCAACACCAAGAATACCAGATAAAAATAATGTTGAAATAACAACACGTTTTCGACCATACTTATCAGCCAAAATACCAAACACCACACCACCCATCATTACACCAGCAAAATATATTGTTGTCGTCAGATCACTCTTATACGCATCATCACACACCAAGTCAAACTAAATGGAGGAATTCAATTAAAAAATTTAATCCATTGAGTGGCAGCACTCTCCCCTTGATGCGTATGAAAACTGTCAGGCATTTATATACAAAGTAAAATAATAACGTAAGGCGTTCTCAGTGTGCATTGCCACCAGGGGCATAGTCAGCCATAAGTAAATGGGGGTGGGGCAACATATACAGAACAACTGTGGGGTTCAGCTGTCTGGGGGGCAGCGAAATGCTGTTTCATGCTAATCTGAAAATGATAACCTGACCGCCACAAATTTAGTACATTTTATGCAATAGATGAAAGCATTAAAGCAGAGGTTATGTATACCCCCCCCCCCAATTCTCTTCAGTTTTGGAATAATTACAAAATTGGTCCAGAAGAAAAGTGGGGGTCTAGCCCCCCATTGTTTACGATCGATTTGCAAATTAACACAAGTACACAACAGATGCAGAGATGCTTTCATACATATAATTCTAAATACCTCAGATATTATGGTTGTTTCTCCATCAGGCAAATGATAATCCCAAACAGTACACTTCTCCGTGTTATTATTCATCAATATAAAACACTCGTCAGTTTTAGCTTGTCCATTTCTTGACAAAAGTGGTAAAACATGGGAGCTTGTATTTTTGTCTATACACGAATACTCCGTTTTCGCCGCAAAAAATACGGAAGACATATGATTCGTCATAACCACCCATAAATTCACACACAGACAAAAGCAAGATATGCTCTGCAGTCTGCCCGGTTGACCTAAAGTGTCCAATAATCCTTCTATATCAGGAGATTTCATGCTTGAACTTCGTGACAATGTGACACCTTTCCTCTGACCGGTTTTCTTAGGCTGCTGTACGTTGGTAATTTGATACTTTATATATGCGGAATTTGATACTCTATTGTATAAAATAGAGTATCAAATAAATATGTGAAATTTGATACTCTATTGTATAAAATAGAGTATCATATACATTCTCTCTTGCAGATTATAGCACAAAGAAAATATCATTATCAAACTGTTTGCGTCACGCACATACGGTCACGCGACAGGAAAACTGGTTGTACTGGTCAGTTTATATTTTATATGTAAATGTATAAACACTTTTTATTACATTTTGTTACACTCAATTAAACAAACTTTTATCTTGTATAGAAAGAGCAAAATACTTAATATATACTGGCATACTGCTTTTAGCAACTCGTGGAATATTTTTCGACTTATTATCGATGATATGGATCAAATATTAATTAATATGTTTTGCTCATTTGACTGCTTTAATTTTTAAAATCATTTACATGCAGAGGTCTCACTTCAGGTTAATTAAATTGGCGTAAGAGATTTTGGGGGGATTTTTTCACTCCGCCATATTCTTTTATTAAAAAACAAGTGCCGTAAAGAAAGGCAGTCACCCCCTGAACACACATTGAAATTTAATGTTCCTGAGCGCCCCCTGAGGCACTTGCCACTTGCTAAGAAAAATGGTTAGCACTAATTTCCATCCAGCAAACTGACCTGACGTCATTTTCGGAAGAGGTGTTAAATGGCTATGTAACTAACCCGAACCCTACCCCTACTCTAACCCCCTAACCCTAACCTCAACCCTAACTCTAACCCTAACCGAATTAATAACAAAAATCCAAAAAGAAAGACTTTAGAAAATCGATAGGGCGGTTTGCTGGATGGAAAATAGTGCTAACCTAAGAGAAATGGTCGCTAGCTATTTTGGTAAAAACTACCTTACGGTTTTCCCTCAGAAGTGAGACCTCTGTATATAAGTCCTCTGTGATTGTATACCTTCGCAGTTATCATGCATAAATTGTACAATGGGCTAATACACCTTTCGATAATTACGTCATGACTACTTTCTTGGCCTCGCTCTCATGAACCAACACGAAAGGCCATTGTCTCACGATTCATGAGAACGAGGCTCCCTACTGAATGTACAACTTTCAGAAGCGGAGCGAAACAACATCTCTCTGTTGCAATAATTCCTCTGAATACAACGTTCCTAAAAAGGTACGGAATCGATCCGGTACAGTGTAAACGTACTGGTGTTGGATCATGCTTTGGGTCAGGTCTGAATCATGGACATCATAGAATACTTGTTACGATTGTGTAACATGAATTAGCATTATTAGCATTAGAATTAGCATTAAGCATTACGTGTTCGCACTGCTTGTTTAGGGCTTGTTGACAAGTCGGTCAACGGTTCAGTTGACAAATGACAACTTACTACAAGATTGTTGAGCTGAATGTTTTTTTTATGTTACTCTGAGTGTATATCCACACCGGGCAGGCTGAAAAGTTAGCTTGACCACGGTGGGAATCGAACCCGCGACCTTTGGGATACCAGTCCAATGCTCTGCATGCCAACTGAGCCACGAGGCCAAGTGTGTTCGAGTGTGTGGTATTTCGGAACTAAGTCCAGTACCTTCGGTACCAATGCTATGATCATGATACTTTTGTGGATGTTTTGATGATCAAAACACACAAAAAATATCAAGACTTGTTACAAGTTGTTCCAACAGCTTATTATTGTCCTCCCGAATGGGCCTTTTACAGGTTTCCGTCCAATTTCCAGGAATTTCAGTTGCAATACTGGAAATTTTATTTGTTGTTTACATCATTATTACGAGTGTTCACCAAAAATATTGAATCAATAGGATTAATTCCTCCTGAGTGAAAGCGTCTCGAAAAATAAAAGTGCTGACGTCAGCATTATTTTCGAACGTCTTCAGAAACTGTGTAAAATTTAGTTAAAAATTCTTGGTTAAGGTTAAGACGGGACTTTTTAAGGTTGGTCTTCACATGGGGCTATTCATGTCCTGTTGACCATACCTTCAACCATATTATGTAGGGTTTAATCTACTTTATGTATGGTTGTAAAGTTAATAAATAAATAAAAAAAAATTTACCTGATATAACAAGAATCTAAACATTTTGGCCCTAACTCGCCTTTATTTTAGCATTTGATATTTTGAAATTTTTGGATATAAAGCGTTGCATTTATCCAAAAATCAAATGCTAAAATAAAGGCGAGTTTTGGCCAAAATGTTTAGATTCTTGTTTATATTAGGTAAGAAATCCCGTCTTAACCTTAACCAAGGATTTTGAACTAAATTTTGTTTATAACAGTTTCTGAAGACGTTCGAAAATAACGCTGACGTCAGCAATTTTATTTTTCAAGACGCCGTAACTCAAGAGGAATTAATCCTATTGATTCAAAATTTTTTGTGAACACTCGTAATAATGATATAAACAACATATAAAACTTCCAGTATTATAACTGAAATTCCTGGAAATTGGACGGAAACCTGCATAAGGCCCATTCAACAAGTTGCGAGTGACAAATAATTCGTAATTAATTACTTTTCAACAAGTAATTAGTAATTAATTACTTTTAAAGGAAAGTAATTTGAATTTGTAATATTGTAATTTTTACTTTTTACGATACAGCTAATTCGAGTACAATATTGCATACTCATTGAGTCCCATAAACGAACAATATGCCAGTAATCATAAATAAAACGTGAAACATACTTCCTTCAATGACTTATTTCATCGCTTGAACCAGACCTGTTTAATTTAAAAACATATCCCAATCTTTCACTAGTATAAGATTTCTTAGAGTTGCAGACTTCAGTACCACTCAGGTAGTACTAGCAAAGTTTTAACAGGTTGTTCAAGAAAGAGTTTAAAATGCATTTTGTTCAAAGCAGCAAGCTGTTCAAAGCAGCGAGTGAATTATTAAATATTTATAACAGGAAAAGATAAACTGATATATTTACTGGGTAAAGTAGAGAAAATATATAAAAAATACCTGTCGAAGATTGTTTTGCATTGCTTCACAACCTTTTCGGTATTGTCATAGTCTTTTTTCGATTTTCTCTGCGAAAAGGAGCAAATGAAACTTTCTACAAGCCATTTTCAAGCGTTTTTCTTCTTGCTCCAAAAATTTCGCGCGCTTTTAAAAAACTGTTGACCGCGCTGGGACTTGGGCTCCACAGGGCTCGTTGACCAATCACCGAACGAGAATAAAATTTGAATGTATAATATCTATAACTTTTTTCAATAATCTCGGACGCGCACTGCGCTCAATTTCTGTGCTCGGATTACCTATTTACAAAGGCTGAGAACGGATAAATTTGGTACGGGTACAAATTTTATCCGTGTCGTACCAAAAATTGAGCGTAGTGTAAACGAGCTTAATTTCCCTTTATTTCCCTCTAATTAGATAATTAGTGAATATCTTACAAAAAGTTTACAAATAAATATTTAATATTCTTACTAGAACGACACCTAAATTTCCTCCAAGATGTAACAGAATTTCGTTAAATTTTTGTAACAAAATTTTGTTAAACATTTCCTGGCTGCTGAACATAAGACTCATAACAGTGTCGCAGGTTTTGATGAGGCCGGTTGTTCAGAGCTAGATTAGCGCTTTATGTATTTCTGCATGTCTGTTTATTTCAAGATTTCAGAGAAGTAAAAATCTACTGATCCAGACAAGATCTCTGAAGAGCTCTTGTGAAGTTTGCTTTGAACTTTAGTTTAACCTGGGGCTAATCTGATCAGCTTTCAAACAACCAGCCCCAGGATTGTAAGTCTTTTCCACCTCGCATAATCAGCCATTTTCCTTCATATTGACGTCTCATAACATTGAAACTTCGTTCTATCGGAATTGATTAAATCGTCTTGTTGATCCAATAATGACGTCATTGAGATCTCTAGTCTGTCGGACATACCTGTGTTGTTTGTCTCGGGAAGAAGTAGAGTCGAAAAACCGCAGAGCAAAGTCAGTGCGGTCAGGATGGTGTAAGGAACAAACTTGGACGTATATGTTCCCTAATGGTGAAAAATGAAATATTGGAAAAATTGTGAAATAATAGTTAGGTCTAATAAATGTACAAAATTCATACTTGTTCGATTAGTATGGAAATACACTATTGTCATACTTACAAGGAAGAAGATTTGCGGAGCAGCCATTCCTCCAACTCTTGCCCAAAATATATTCATTCCTAAACTGCCATTTCTGTTGAGAAAATCATCAAGATAAATATCATCACCAGTGTTGAGAAATATTATCAAAGCTCAGTTACTCCTCACCTAACAACAGTTGGATAAAGTTCAGATGTGTATGTATAACCAATAGATATACTGCAGGCTATCATAGACTTCCCAATTATTGCCATAGTTGTTCCAAGATACTTCATCGAAGTTGACACTAAGAAAAATAGTTTTGACTTTACTATAAAAATTATGGCGCTTTACATCAAGTATTACGCTTACCCAGTTACTTACGTCGCCTGGACTATTTTATCTTGTGATATTACTTTCTTAACTGTGTTTATCCAAGTTTATCCTAACCCACCCTGTCAACTTTCCCTGCGGGCTGCGGGAGGAAACCGGAGCACCCGGAGAAAACCCACGACTTTCGACAGAGCGTTGACTGACTCTTTTCACAGAGGTGAAAGGCGCTTCTTCTGGGGGCAACTGCCCCTCCCACATACAGAAATGTGCGGCTGTTTCATTTCTGTTGCACGCTGAACATTGTGTTCATTCTGTTCACAGGGTTCATGGGTGTACTGGGTCCATTCTTTCTTACACTCACCAGATTGGGAAGCCACTATAGAACAAACAACGTTTGCCACAGCACAGATGAAAAATGAAATAGTTAGTGGACGACGCCGACCATATCTGGAAATAGTGAAAGTTAATGTTTTGTACTTGCTGTGCTTTCAAACGTTTCTTCATTTGATTCGTGTTGGTGTTAATGGTGTATGAATGGCGGAGCTAATTTAGGAGGGATCATATATTGTGCACACGTAAAACTCTCACAACCTGTCAACAACAATCAAGATGTTTTCGCAACTGGCTTGTAGCAAACTTGTCAAGAACTTGTAACGTGCTACAAGGTTGTCACTCACAACTTGTTGACAAATTGTTGAATTGCAGGACGATAACAAGTTGTTGTGACAACTTGTAACAAGTCTGTTGAGCTCAACAACTTTGTAGCAAGTTGTCAACAAGCTGGGAACAAGCAATGCGAACACATCCCGTTGACAAGTCGTTGGAACACTATTTAGTCACCTTGGCACAATCCAAAGAAGATTGCTCTCGAAAATCGCGTCCATGATACTGCTGATTGCAAAATTTAAATATTTGTTTCCAAAAAGATGTGATATGTGAAAGGCCAAACCGTAATATCCAAGCGCGAATGTAAACCTAGAATATTGCAAATATGAAATTATATTTTATTAGTTTACGAAACAAGCAATTCAACCCAATGAGTAAAAAAGTGAATACATTTAACGGGAACATGTATTAACATAGCTTGTTTCTACTGGACCAAATCTTAGTCAAAATTCATCCCTTACATTGCATTATCGATTCCCATTAATCGTTACTCATATTAGCTGTGTAGAACACCCTGTATATACAGTATAATCTACCAGGCCAGCTACATATGTACACTGCGTATCTGTTTTTTAAGCTTATATTTCTCGTTCACTTACCAGTTAAGAAAAAGTATAAATGTAATTTTTCGTAATGTCGGAGATCTAAAAATATCAATAGCGTTTCCCTTCTTCTGCTCGTCTTGCACATCATTTTTTTTATTCAATGCAACGTTTTTGATTTCATCAAATAATTTTTGTGGAAAAGTTAGTTTGTTGAACGTGACTGTTCGTTGAATGATGGCCTCGGCTTCCCTGATGTTCTTTTGAACAATATTCCACCTCAGCGAGCCAGGAAGAAACCTAAAAACAATTAAAAAACTCATTAATAATTCACGAGGAGCAGACGAAGGAAATCATAACCGTGTTGGTGGTTTTATAACTAATAGAAAATGATGTTAATTTACATAGTCATAAACTTTAGCTTTGATTTTCTCGGCTTAAACAACGTTGGTTTTTAAAATTACTTCGCCAATAAACTCATAAGATGTGTCGTTTTTTAAGCCATTTAAAACACTCGTGTCCGTGCGTTATCAGATATAAGACACTCATCTGTGTTTTATATTTATTTATTTATTTTGCCACAATAGAGAGATATATATATACACATACTGACATACACTTAAGAACTAAACAAGACAGAAAACAACTAGTCAATGAATACTTCGTGGCCGGGTACCCAATACTACCCACAACAGCGTGTGAAGCCAATTACTGTGGTCCCGATAAGTGAGAGAATACATGCACTAACTACAACATGACGTGGATATCCTGCGTGCTGAATTGCATTTCAGACACACAGATTTCCATGTCCTTGGATCATCCGAATCGAAAATTGTTTGAGATGCCGTCAAATAATATTCTTTAAGCAAACTTCTAAAGCGTAATAAAGATGTATCCATGCGGCGCATTTCGTCAGGTAGGTTGTTCCAAACTCTGCACGTGCGTGAGAAGAATGATCGTTGAAAAGTTATGGTTTTACATCTTTTAGGATGAAAGTAGAGTAGACTAGGATCGGAAGTATTTCGGGTTGATCTTGTGGGAATATGTTGAGTTGGCTTGACTTCAGAGTTCATGGTGGTAATATTGTGAACAATATCTGATAAAGCACTCCTACTCGTGTTTTAAATAGTACACAACACACTAAAAAAGATGTCCAAGTTTTAACTTTCGGGATGAATTTCTAAATTACTATCACATTTTAAAACCTTCCCTTGTGCGCATAAAATACATACCAATTCTTGCTTGTAATGTGCATGCTTGCACCACAATAATTAGACCGGAATACGTCAAATATAAACTGAGTTCCGCGTGAAAAATAAGCATGGAAATAAGGCACGACCAGTGGGCACGACGTGGCAAAGAATACTATACAGAAGTTCATCTTCATTGTTTTTTGCGTAAGCGCTATTCGTCATGATTCGTCACTCAGCAAGTACCGTCACAGAATAGGAAGTTATACCAGAAGCGTAACTCTTGTCGTTTCCCTTATTGTTTGACGTGCACGAAAATTTTAACTCGCTCACGCCAATCCACGCCATCCTGGCTAGTACAGCCGGAAGTTTTTATCAGGATTTGGTAGGTACAAAGTGCCGGTTGTACTAGCCAGGATGGCGTGATTGATGACGAATCGCTTGTAAAAACGCGGACAAATATTTGCTCGAGTTACGCTTCTGGTATAACTTCCTATTCTGTGGTACCGTAAACAGAAGCAGTCATCCCCCTGGACGTGCGCCATTTTTGAGTATTTCCAGGGGGGGGGAGGACTGCTTATGCAAAAAACAATGGAAATGGACTTCTGTGTAGTACCACAGAATAGGGTACACAGAAGGCTGACTTCTTGGTTTTTCCTATGATTCTCCTATGATTTTGGTGTAACCCGTAATTCGTCATCAAATTCTGACACCATGGTCCTAGCCAGTGCGCGTTTGAGAGGCATTCACCCCTGTGATCATTTCAAAATGGTGGATGTCCAGGGGGGGGAATGCCTCTCAAACGCGCACTGGCTAGGTCGCGCATGACCATGGTGTCGGCATTTTGATGATGAACCATGGTGTGGCAGCGGTTACTCGAGTTGACCTTCTGTGTGCTTATTCTGTGGTAGTACTCTGTGGCCGTGGTTTGTGTCTGAAAATTGAATAAATATTCAATTGTATTTTTGTACTGGTCTGACATCTGACGCATTGTTGGACTACAAGAAAAAAAAATTATCAATAAAAATAAAATAATGGTGAGGACCTTGTCAGTAAGTTGGTAGCCGGAAATACAATTATGGTTCATCATCACAATATATAAACTATTCTGAAATATTTTTAACCCACTGAGCACCACGCAGAGCTCTGCCCTTGACGAGTAAAATTGTCTGGTGTTAGACAGAGTGAAATAATAATGTAGGGTGCAATGCAACTTAAATGGGTTAATTAAACCAAAATTAATTAATTAACCCTTTAAATGGCAATGCAGTGAATGCACCCCGATGTGCCCTTACTTACTTTATTATTTTACTCTGACTCTAAGACCAGACAATTTTACGGGGAAAGTGCTAGCACTCAATGGGTTAAACCTTGCCATGTACCATACTTACCATAATACAAGAACTTGCAGAAAAGGTAACAATCCCTCAGTGGCTTTAACCCACTAAGCACCAGAGCTATCCCCCTTGATGAGTAAAATTGTCTGGTGTTAGACAGAGTAAAATAATGTTTGGTGCAATTTAAATGGATTAAAAACCAAAATTAATTAACAAGCCTTTAATTTAAATGGCAATGCACCCTGATGTGACCTACTTTATTATTTTACTCTGTCTAACACCAGACAATTTTACGGGGAATACCGTACTTACCATAATACAAGAACTTGCAGAAAAGGTAACAATCCCGTACAGAGCTGAACATATTTCCAGTCTTGTATAACAAATGCAAGAAAGTCAAGAAGTAGTACACCAAAAACACCAGATCCAACAAACAGAATACCGCCTTTAGCACGGTATTTCATTGGCAGCATCTCCATGGTAAGAACGAATGAAGAATTTTGCACACCCTAAAAAATAAGGTACAATATATTTGTTGCAAATGACTTGTTCTGTGGCATGTTTATAGATACACTTCACCCCCTAAACATATTCAAAATGGCAGACGTTCAGGTTGTGAATGCCTCTCTTTATGCACACTGGAATATGGCGAGTGCATTTTGATGACAAATCAAATCGCAAATCATGGCATGACAGTGGTTACGCTTAATTCTGTCAACCTAATCTGTAAGGTTCCTAGGAATTATGTGACTAAGCTAAGTTTTCAAAACTCAGCCACCAACCTGCAAATTCTACCTGCAGTTTCTGGGCTGGCAGTTAGTTTTTGTTAGGATAAACCAAACCCCAGGTTAGGGTAATGGATGTGGCTTTATGGGGTTATGATTTTAATTTGCCCAAAACATAAAAATAGCAAAAAAATCCATGCTTATCTCATGCTTACCTGCATAAAAAATCCCAAGAAAAATCTGAGTACAACATAGGCAACATACGTTCTTAACACAAAAGTGACTACACCAACAATACCAGATAAAAATAATGTTGAAATAACAACACGTTTTCGACCATACTTATCAGCCAAAATACCGAACACCACACCACCCATCATTACACCAGCAAAATATATTGTTGTTGTCAGATCACTCTTATACGCATCATCACACACCAAGTCAAACTAAATGGAGGAATTCAATTAAAGAATTTAGGGCCTGTTTATATGATCCCGGCCAGGCGGGATGCTTACCGAGATCCCGCTCATAATACAAATTCTAAAGAGTGTTTATATGATCCTGTCACTTATCCCACCTAGACGGGATCTCGGCAACAGATGCGGGGATCCCGCCTAAGCAAGATGAAAAATTCCCATATAAACACTTCATCCCGCCCAGCCCCCGATGAAAAAATCCTGCATACAGCCATGGTGTGGGGGCTGCAAAACGCTGTTTCATGCTAATCTGAAAATGATAATCTGAACGCCGCAAATTTAGTATATTTTATGCCATTGATGAAAGCATCCAAGCAGAGGTTACGTATATCCCCCTCCCCCCAAATTCTCTTCAGTTTTGGAATAATTACAAAATTAGTCCGGAAGAAAAGTGGGGGTCTAGACCCCCCTCCCCCCATTGGTCACAATCGAGTTGCAAACACAACAGATGCTTTCATACATCTAATTCTAAATACCTCAGATATTATGGTTGTTTCTCCATCAGGCAAATGATAATCCCAAACAGTACACTTCTCCGTGTTATTATTGATCAATATAGAACACTCGTCAGTTTCAGCTTGTCCATTTCTTGACAAAAGTGGTAAAACATGGGAGCTTGTATTTTTGTCTATACACGAATACTCCGTTTTCGCCGCGAAAAATACGGAGGACATATGATTCGTCATAACCACCCATAAATTGACAAACAGACAAAAGCAAGATATGCTCTGCAGTCTGCCCGGTTGACCTAAAGTGTCCAATAATCTTTCTATATCAGGAGATTTCATGCTTGAACTTCGTGACAATGTGACACCTTTTTTTTTTCATATTATAATACTATGAAACTGGTTTTTGACACCTTTCGTTCGACCGGTTTTCAGACCCCTCAACTCTCACGCATTCGGCGTGAGTCACGCCACATTTAGTAAATCTCACGCATATAGCAGTTTCATAGTATTTTTTCAATAATATAATATTGTATTCTTAAAGGCACATTATTAATCATTATACGGGTCGCAAATCGAATATATAATCGCGTGTAATTCATGTTCCTGCATATACCACAGGAGGCCCAGGCTCGATTTGCCCGCGCCCGCCTGTGCCTTCCTTATAACGAGGGAAGGAAGGAAACATTGAGACCAAAATAGCCCAGACTGGCATATGTCACACGAAACTATCCTCGATTTTTCGCCTTTAATGCATTTCTTTCACGATTAATCGATATCCCCTGCAAGAATGATACCGTATAACTCTCAAAACAACGATGCTTTAATCAAAGGGCTTAAATTCGCTCTGAAATCCGTGAGGGAATAACAAAATTCGCCAAAAATATATCCGCGTGCCGGGTTTGCTGGACAAAAAGCGGAAGTCGTTGAACAACTCAAAATACACTCAACCCTGATTGGACAACGAAAATCAACAAACATTTCAAGTTTTCTCCACTGGCACTGGGAAGGGGGACAGTACTTGGAACAGTACTGTAATAATTTGATTATTTGAATCAAAACAATTCACAAACGTTATTATACTAAACTTTTGCCTGGTTTTCCCCCGACAACATTTGTTAATTGTTTTGATTCAATTTTATATTACATTACCGACTACAGAAATTTTTGTTGATTTTCGTTGTCCAATCAGGGTTGAGTGTATTTTGAGTTGTTCAACGACTTCCGCTTTTTGTCCAGCAAACCCGGCACGCGGATATATTTTGGGCGAATTTTGTTATTCCCTCACGGATTTCAGAGCGAATTTAGCCCTTTGATTAAAGCATCGTTGTTTTGAGAGTTATACGGTATCATTCTTGCAGGGGATATCGATTAATCGTGAAAGAAATGCATTAAAGGCGAAAAATCGAGGATAGTTTCGTGTGACATATGCCAGTCTGGGCTATTTTGGTCTCAATGTTTCCTTCCTTCCCTCGTTATAAGGAAGGCACAGGCGGGCGCGGGCAAATCGAGCCTGGGCCTCCTGTGGTTATAATGCAGGAATTTTATCAATCTCGTTCCCCGAGCCTGCGATCCTTCAATCTCGTTCCCCGAGCATGCCCGTTCGCAGGTTAAGGGTGGGCATAGCTCTGGAGAAATCGAATTGATTCAGGCCTGTGATTGGCTAACGGCAGATAGTACGTTGGATTTCCAACGTGAGTTCTACGCATGCTTGGCAATTG